AATCAACAAAATAAACAAGCAAGCAAAATATAACCAGAGACATTGAAATTAAGAACAAACTGACAGTAACCAGAGAGGAGATGGGAGAGGGTAATGGGGGAGGGCTTGGGAAGGACTGTCAGGAGTATATATAAAGGACACATGGACAAAACCAAAGAGGGGTAGGACCGAGGGTGAGAGGTGGTAATGGCTGGGGTTGGGGGAGTGATAAGGGGGAAATGGAGACAACTGTACTTGAACAACAATTTTTTTTTAAAAAAAGGTAATTGGAAATTTTGAGAAGATAGTCAAGAACCAGTGGTTCATTTTTGAGGCTAGATGGTAATGAATGTTCTAAAATAAGGCACAAAACCCTCAAAGTTGCTTAACTGTACAATATTAAACCATGAGGGGAGACTTCCTTCTGACCTTAGCTGGTGATCAGTTTATGCCCCAATGTATGCGATTTAATGGTCTGTATCATTTTTATCATGCCACTGCAGATGTTATTTTTACTCGTATAAATACCTAATCTTCTTGTTAGATAGTTACCCCTGCTAATTATTTGTACTCTGTCTAAAGCAAGCCACTTGAGGCCAAGGCTCAAGAATAAGAGTACCTTCTTCCTGGAGCCAAGCAGGAAAAAAAACTCTCAAAGTTTATGGTAAAATATACTTTAGTTTATTTTATAGAAACTCAAGATGACGTTTTGGTAAAGGTAATGTAGCATTATTTAAAAAAAGATTAAGAAAGTAAATGTAGATAGCAACATTGTTTGTAATGGCCATAAAGTAGAAACAACCAAAATGTCCATCAACTGAAGAGTAGATCAACAAATGTGGTATATTTGTACAATGGAATATTATTTAGCAATAAAAATAAGTGAAATATTGATACATGCTACAACATATGCTAATTGAAGTGCATAATGAAAACATTATGCTAAGTGAAATAAGCCAGATATCAAAGGACGTACATATTATTTCATTTATAATAAATGTCAAAATAGGCAAGTTCATCGAAACAGCAATTAGAATAGTGGTTACCAGGTACTGAGAGAAGGAAATAAGGGGTGACTGGTAATGGGTACTGGGCTTCTTCTGGGGGTGGTGGAAATGTTCTGGAATTAGATAGTGGTCATGATTGCACAGCTCTGTGAATATCCTGAGAACTACTGATCTGTACACTTTAAAAGTCAGTTGCATGGTGCACAAACTATATTTCAGTTTGAAAAAGTCATAGAAGAAATGTCCAAGAAAAAAGTAGTAAATTTGACCACATGGAAAAAATGCTGTGTGGTTGTTTACAGGAAAACTCACTTCTCTTCCCTTCTACTCACACTCACAACACTTTGACACCAGAGGTGGGTTTGCCACACATCAGGCAATTCCGTGACACCAGCTGTGGGCCCCTCAATTCATTTCAGTTCCGACACTACCTACGCGATGTTAGCCTCATGTCTCAGAGGTGAAGGGCGCAGTCCTACAAGACTGCCCACCTCCTACTTCAGAGTGCCAATTGCAAGTCCAGGTTGTCACTGCTGCTTCTGACCAGCTAGCTGTAAATCAGAGGTTTCCATGACCTGCTTCCTCAAGTTTGATTATTTGCTAGAGCAGCTCACAGAACTCAAGAAAATGGTTTATTGACTAGGTTACTGGTTCGTTATAAAAGGATGTAACTCAGGAACAGCCATAGGAAAGAGATGCTTAGGGTGAGCTCCAGAAAGCTCTCGAATGCAGGAGCTTCTGTCCCTGTGGAGTTTAGGTAGCCTGGCTCTGTGCATGTGCATTGGATATGTTCACCAACCCAGGAGTTTTCTGAACCCTGTATTTTGGGAGATTTTATGGAAGTTTCATCACGTGAGCATGATCAATCATTAACTAAATCTCTAACCCCTTTCCCTTCCTGGAGGATGGGGGAGTGGAGTTGAAAATTCCAGCCTTCTACTGTGGCTCAGTTGGTCCTTCTGGTAGCTCTCATCCTGAAGCTATCCAGGAGCCCACCAAGAGTCTCCTCACTAGATGAAAAAGGACTCCTATCATCCAGGAAATTCCAAGGGGTATGGGAGGTCTGTCAAGAACCAGGGTCAAAGTTCAAATATGAGAACAAAAGATGCTCCTAGTGCTCGTATCACTGAGGAATTTTTAAGAGTTTCAGGAGCTCTGTGTAGGAACTAGGAGCAGAGACTATATATAAAATATACATTTTCTATTATTCCATAGTGGTATTAATGTACCATGTACAGATGATCAGAGTCCATCTGGTAGGATGGGGCAGTATTAGGGAGGATTTCCCACAGAGAACTTCAGAGATAAGGATGTGCAGAGGCCAGTCACTGGGGACATAGTGCTTTTGAGGAACAGCAGGTAATTGTGCACGTGGGGGATTGGCAGTCAAAGAAATTACAGAAGAAGGCAGTGATCAAGAAGTGCCTTGAGGGATTCAAATCAGTGGAGCAAAGATGAACTTGTTAATAAGTGGTGGTGTTTGAACTGAGCAGCCATATTAAAAAAGATAAAATTGACATTATTTCTCATACTGTATACTATTATTTATAAAAACAAAACCGTAAAATACTAGAAGAAAATCTAGGTCTCAGGAACCTGGAATGGTAAAATTCTCATCTGTGACACAAAATCCAAGGAAAAGATTAAGAAATTTGGTTCCTGGCATTTACTCAAGCCTCTAGCTCTAACTACTAGTTTACAGGAAATCTAGGAGACAAAGGGATCTGTTCAATGGCAGACACCATAGGAGACATTCGACAAAATCTAAAATGTGCTTACTTCAGATTTGTGCTGCTTCTTTGTGAGCTGCTTTCTTTCACAAGTAAATGCCACCCACACACCCTCAGAAGGAGGGAGGGACACCTTCCGATTAAAAGAGACTCAAAAGACGTATTAACCAAATGCAATGGCGAATCTTAAAGAAAAGCAATTTTTGAGACAAATAGAGAAATTCAAACCTTGTGTGAATATTAGATAACTCTAAAGAATTATTAATTTTATTAAAGTACAATAATGGAAATATGTTTATGTTAAAAGGAGACTTTATCCCTTAGAGATAAAGATTGAACTATTTACAGATGAAATGGTAAAATCTTTGGTATTTACTTTAAAATAATTCAGTAAGGGTCTATTTGGGAAAACAGGAAGTATACATGCAATTAAACAGTACACTGCTAATAATTATTAGAGCTAGATGAGCCCTGGCTGATGTGGCTCAGTTGGTTGGACTATTATCCCATAACCAAAAGGTTATGGGTTCGATTCCCTGTCAGGGCACATACCTAGATTGCAGGTTCAATCCTCAGCCTGGGGCAGGAGGCAACCAATTGATGTCCCTCTCCCACAGCAATGTTTCCCTCACTCCCTTCCTTTCTAAAAACAATGAAAAAAAAATGTCCTTGGGTGAGGATTCAAAAAAGAAAGCTAGATAAGTACATGAACATTATTATACTATTCTTGTTACTTTAGGGTAAATCTGAAAACTCCCAGAGCCACTGAAGGCCTTTTCAGCAGGAGAATGCCAAGATGAAATTGGCATCTGAGGGCGTGTGGCCTGGGCATAAGAAGACTAGATAAGGTGCCATCAAGGAGGTGCACAGTCATAAAGGATGGAACTCTGAAAGCTAAAGAAACAGGAATCAAGGATGACTCTCAGGTTTCAGGCTTAGATGGCTGCATAGTGGGGCCATTCACCAGCAAAGGAATTCAGGAAAGATTAAAGTTAGAGGTCAAGGGAGTGATAGATGCCATTTCTGACAAGTTGCATTTGAGGCGCCTGTGGAACATCCAGAGCTGAGGAAGGAGGCCTGCACTGGAGATGGGGTTTTGGCAATTATCAGCCGCCGCATGATTTCCATGGAAACGTGGAGTGTAGGCACAAAAAATGCTCTCTTCATGAGCAAGTACTTATTATCAAATTAATAAATTACTCTTGGACTGTTTTAACGTTAACAAATCAAAGTGGCTTAATCAGGGAGAATAATGTAAGAGAACCAGATGGTAGTATGTGATATCCATACCATTCTGTTTCCTCTCGATTTCCATTTTGAACATGTGATGGATATTCAAGGTTTAACTGCAGGATTTTCTTGTTTCATTTTCCTTCCCCCAATAAAGGAGTTTTCAAGAGAACACTAAAGCTTTAATACATTAGGGGGAAAAATCTCATGTGAAAGATCAAATTTTACTTTTTCTTTTTTACCTTGCCCTCCTTCTATTTTGCTCCATCCATGTCACCTATGGTACTGTAAAAACTGAAAGGAAACACCCAAACCATCTAGATCTAGGGCCACAGTTCAATTTCCTGTCTCTAACATAGTCATGAGGGCGTTAACTCCTTGGGATGATGTGTGTATTCAGAAGGAGCCACAGAGCCTGTGATATAAAAATGCAGCTTGTGTCAGGGATTGGTTTATGCCTTGGAGCAGCACAAAAAGAACAAAACTCAGCCCCTGTGGTATTTGTTGCTGGGGAAGCTTGAGGCCATCTGCTAGTCTCTAATAAAACATGACAATAACATTTTGGTTTGAAGCACAGAATGATTTTCCAAAGTGAAAATAAAGCTTGTCAGCAATTGAGACTCTTGTAGATCTTTTTTTAAAAAAGATATTTGTATCTTTAGCATTTATATTCAAATAAGAAGAAAAGGATATTAATACCTTTCTTTTTCTATTCTGGGCTTATTCTCAAAATCTCGTGTTGACTGCCCAATTGGAACTCCTCAGCCTGCCACTGGAAGCCTCCACAATTGGCTTCACCCGAGACCACTTAAGTCAGTTGGGCCCAGGCATCAGTTCTTTAAAACATCTTCCCTGGTGATTTGAACATGCAGTCAAGGCTGAGGCCCACTGTGGTTACAATATGAGCAAGGAGAAGACAACCCAGGCACTGGGATTACCCATGGTCAGAAGTAAATGTGAGAAATGCAAGTTTTTCAGAGCCTCATATGGCAGCTACGATGTACGTGCCTGTGCATGTGTGATGTGTGCTACCTATGTCTGCTGTGGCCCACAGGTAAACGCCGTGCGGGTGTATGTGAACAGCTCTTCAGAGAACCTCGACTACCCAGTCCTGGTGGTGGTTCGCCAGCAGAAAGAGGTGCTGTCCTGGCAGGTTCCTCTGCTCTTCCAAGGACTGTAAGTGGGTCTTTTCCCAGACAGCTTCACTACATTGGTTTCTTTCAATGGCCCAGATCCCAATTGGTCTTTTCCCTAGTGTAACAAGAAATCCAACATTTGGAATGTGGACAAATTATGCATGCTCAGTGCAGACACAAATTGTTGTACATACCCTGACATGTACAGCTCTGTTCAACCTCTGTGCCCTTTGAAGTTCACATGAGAACTCTACCTAGATATGTAGCACCCGGAAGAACTTCTATCATTTTAATCCTGTTCAGAATTAAATAAATGTTCTTTAGCTCTTGATTGGTTGATGGGTCATCCACTAAGATTAGGGTAAGGCCCAGCAGTCAACTTAAATGAGTAACACTTTTTCCGTTCTTCAAAATGCCCACCAAGTGTGCATTCTTCATTCATAATATTTATTGAGCACCACGAGGTGATATGTGCTGGTGATCTGACAGTGGGGAGAACCGACAAAGCCCCTGCCCTTGTGGAGTTTATATTTCCACAGGGGAAACTACACAAGGCACTATAGAACAATAAGAAGAAACCCAGAGGGCATTTAGACATGACATATAGTATGTGTTAAATTGTTTTCAAAGATTGAGGAATTTAAAAATTAAAATACTGACTTGAGCTTTGGGGTTTTATGCTCCATTTAGTAAAAGTTTAAAGAATAGAAAAATGGATTTACCTGACTGCCTTATCAGGATAGTTTCCTTTTTATAATTTGATATTTTCCTCATTGAATTAGGAGGATGGTTTAGTGTAATGTAGACACTACCTAAGTGAACTAGTCAGCACCAAACAGACCTCACATCTCTGTGACTATGTTACAGAGCCCTGTGCCAAAGTACACTGCTTCTAAAATCACTATCAATAGGTCTAGTCTGAAATTTAAAATATAAGGGCTTGAAAACAAATTTGGGAGAAGTGAAATGCAGTAGACTTCTTTCCCTGCTTGTTCACTGCTTGTTCAGTCTCTCTGTCTTATTCTGGCTGGTTTTTCCCTTTATTGGCTGCTGCAGATACCAGAGGACCTACAACTACCAAGAAGTGAGCCGCACCTTATGTCCCTCAGAAGCAACCAATGAAACAGGACCACTGGAACAACTGATATTTGTAGATATAGCATCCATGGCACCCCTGGGGGCCCAGTACAAACTGCTGGTTACCAAGATCAAGCACTTCCAGCTACAGTAAGCAGGACTCCCCGGGGCCTCTCTGTTCACTGGTCTGTTCTTCCAGTGCTTGTGAATGCTCAATCCAGCTTCCTTCCTTACAGATCAGCACTCTAGACAGACATTATCTGTGTGGCATACTGCCTTAGCCCCTTCTGACCGCTCCTGCTCACACTGGGCAGCAGGGCCTTTTATATTCAGTGCAACAGGGAGGCAGTAGGGGACAGGTGCAGAGAGGGGTGGTTGACCTCATAGGTGTGTCTGTTCTCGGGGGTCTGGATAAGGGCCTTGTCCTGTCTGCAGTGCAGGCAGAAGTCACTGCTGACTGGATATTTTGTACTGCTCACCAGTGACACTCTCCTGAAGGAAATTTTGTTTTTGTTTTAAGAAAGACCTTACATTACTTTTTTTTCTGTTGTTACTGTTATTCCAGTTTTCTCCTTCCAGGTTAGGAATGTACACAGGTGGAAAATAATATGTTATGTGGTTAGTTCTTTGTGCAAAAACTAAAGACTGTTTCCTTCTTCTCCTTGCACTTCCATTCTTTGTGACAACATCAATTGGGAAACACTATCGCAAACTGTTTATATTCAAGGCGGAGTATAACAAATTAGGTTGATGGCATTGTCTGCAAGGGATTTGTTCTCACCCCAAGGTTACTCTTGTAAAACATTGTGTAAATCTGTGTAAAATTTAAACAGAAAGGCTAAGGCTTTTCCTAATAAAGCCAGAAACTTCAGGGATTTTTCTGTACTATACAACTCTAAGCTCAAAGCATTTTAAGGGTTCAAACTATTTCCTTCCTTCTCATTGTTTTAAATCAATTTTAAATGAAAATATGGGATGGGGCAAAATGAGCTTATATTTGAGAGTACATGAAACACACAGTTTATTCTTGTATTATTTATTAACTTTCCATTATCTTCCATGCAAACAACTGAAACCTACCCTGTTCCTTTTGCCCCACCCTGTATTATTACATTGCTTATATAAACATTAGAACTTGTACTCATCAAAAGCACTGTTAAAAGAACAAAATGATAGGACTTCTGGCCACAATGGAGACATAGGTAGACATGCTTCACTTTCTCATGCAACCATAGAGAGAATTACAGCTAGATCTCAAAACAACATCTACAACAGTCAGAAAATCAAGCTGTATGGAAATCTGACAACCAAGGATATAAGAAGCCACAATCATCCAAATGGACAGGAGGGATGAACTCAGAGAGAAAGGTGTAGAGATGAGGAGACATGGTGTGGTATAGAGAGGCACTGGCGGCAAAAAGGGCGGTCCCACATTCACGTGTGGTGGATAATAATCAGGAGGGATATCTTAGGAGCAAGTGATCCCAGCCTCAGGCCAGACTGTACAGCCCAAGATTCCAGTGCTAGATAGATAAATCCCTAAAACTTTTGGTTGTAAAAACCAGTGGGGGTTGGAGTGGCAGAAAAAACTGTTGGATTTTCTGGAAACTTGGGTAAAAGGGCCCGCATGGATTTAGAATGTACATAAACCCACCCAATCTGGGATTCACCACCAGAGGAACAGCTGGAAGGGCTCCAGTCACATATGGGAAATGAGTGAAGTGACTAGAAATGGAGTAAGTGCCAGGCAAAACTCCAGAAGCCAGGCAGTGGCATTGTCCCCTCTCTGAGCCCTCCCCTGATACAGAGTCACAGAATGGGAAAGAGGGTTGCCCGACCCTGGCAATTACCTAAAGCTCCACCCACACAATTTATAGGTGCCTTTCCTATAATAGGCCACACTACTAAAACAAGGAGTCAAAGCAGCTCTACCCAATACACAGAAACAAACACAGAGAAGCTGCCAAATTGAGGAGACAAAGAAACATGGCCCAAATGAAAGAACAGATCAAAACTCCAGAAAAAGAACTAAACAAAATGTAGATAACCTATCTATCAGATGCAGAGTTCAAGATAGCGGTGGACAGGATGCTCAGAGAACTCATTAACTACAGCAACAACATAAAGGAAGAAATGAACATTACACCAAGTGAAATAAAGAAAAATCTATAGGGAACCATCAGTGAAGGGGAGAAATCCAGGATACAAATCAATGATTTGGAACATAAGGAAGAAATAAGCATGCAACCAGACAACAAGGAAAAAAAAACAATTCAAAGAAAATAAGGATAGTATAAGAAGCCTCTGGGACATCTCCAGATGTACCAACATCCAAACCATAGGGATGGCAGAAGGAGAAGAGGAAGAGTAAGTAATTGAAAACTTATTTGAAAAAATAATGAAAGAAAAGTTCCCTAATTTAATGAAGGAAATAGACATATAAGTCCAGAAAGCACAGAGAGTCCCAAACAAGTTGGACCGAAAGAGGACCACACCAAGACACAACATAATTAAAATGCCAAAGGTTAAAGATAAAGAGAGAATCTTACAAACAGCAAGAGAAAAACAGAGAGTTACCTGCAAAGGAGTTCCCATAAGACAGTCAGCTCATTTTTCAAAAAGAAACTTTGCAGGCAGGAAGAGATTGGCAAGAAGTATTCAAAGTGATAAAAAGCAAAGACCTGCACCCTAGATTACTCTATCCAGCAAAGCTGTCATTTAGAAAGGAAGGGCAGATAAAGTGCTTCCCAGACAAAGTAAAGCTAAAGGAGTTCATCATCACCAAGCATTGTTATATAAAATGTTAAGGGACTTCTTTAAGACAAGAAGATAAAAACTATGAACATTAAAATGGCAACAAATTCACAACTATCAACAACTGAATCTAAAAAAACCCAAACAAACCAAAAAACAAACTAAGCCAGAACAGGAACAGAATCATAAGTATGGAGATCATTTGGAGGGTTATCAGCTGGGAGGTGGAAGGGGAAAAGTGGGAAAAAGGTGCAGGGATTAAGAAGCATAATTGATAGGTGCAAAATAGACAGGGAGATGTTAAGAATAGTATAGGAGATGGAGTAGCCAAAGAACTTATATGCAGAACCTATGGACATGAACTAAATGGGAATATTGCTAGAGGAAAGGGGGGCATTGAGTGGAGGGGGCCAAAGAGAAAAAATTGGGACAACTGTAATAGCATAATCAATAAATTCTATTTTTAAAAAAGAACAAAAAGGTAAGGCATAGACTAGGAGAATATATTTCCAACACCCAAATGACAAAGGACTCATATGCAGAATATATAAAGAATTCCTACAAGTGGATAATAAAAAAACAGGCACACTCCTGGCTGCTGTACCCATTTACCATCTCCATTTCTGTGGTTCTGGCTTCTAGTGGGGAAGGACCTTGGAACCTCTGAGTCCGAGCACTGGCCTGGGGAGTGGGGCACCCAGAGGGGCACAAGTCTGTTTGTCCAGACACAGGTCTTGACTCAGCTTCACTGAAACAAATAGACAGGTTGTTAGGCAAAAATGAGGCAATCTCAGGAGCAGAAACTACACTTGAGAAAACAATTCTGTGACCTGCTTCTCACTAGAACTTTGGGGTAGAGAAAGAAGAGTCTCAGAAGGGTAATAATGTTTATATTTACTCCATGGGGGGAATATGTATATATAATATAAATGGGCTCAAATGTGCCAAATAAAGACATAAAATGTCAAGTGGGATTTTTTAAAAAAGAAAACTAAATATATGTTGCTTACAAGAGTACAACCTTAAACAATACATAAATGCTGTAAGTAAAAAGATAGTAAAAGAAATACCACACTGACATTAACTAAAAGAAAGTTGGTGTAGTATATCAATATTATATAAGATATTCCTTAATGTAAAGAGCATTATTAGAGATACAGGGATATTTCATATTTCTAAAAGAACCATCCACTAAGAAGACTTAAATTTAAGCTCTAAATTTGTATGCATCGCCCTGGCTGGCATAGCTCAGTGGATTGAGCGTGGGCTGCGAACCAAAGTGTCGCAGGTTCGATTCCCAGTCAGGGCACATGCCTAGGTTGCAGGCCATGGCCCCCAGCAACTGCACATTGATGTTTCTCTCTCTCTCTCTTTCTCCCTCCCTCCCCTCTCTAAAAGTAAATAAATAAAATCTTTAAAAAAATTTTGTATGCATCTAGTAACATCAGTTCAATATATAAAACAAGAATTACAGAATGAAAAGAACTGGACAAATCTACATTCTTTGTGGGAGAGTTATCCATAGCTGATAAAACAAGCAGACCAAAAATTTTATATTTATACACACACCCAGAGTAATTAGATAATTGTTATGTTGGCAAGTTATGGTTCATAGGCTGGCCAGTGGTTTTTGCAAATAAAGTTTTATTAGAACACAGCCCTACCCATCCGTTATATGTTGTCAATGGCTGCTTTCATGCTATAATTACAAAGCTGAGTAGTTGAGACAGAGACATTATGGCCTGCAAGCCTAAATATTTACTCTCTAGCCCTTTAAGAAAAAGTTTGCCAACTCCTGATATGAAAGAGCAGACACATGATTAACAAATTTGAATTAATTAATGTATTTAGAAAACTGAATCCCAGGGTGATAGAATGACTAACCTTTTCAAGTACATGTGCATTTACCAAAATTACCAAGCTCTAATGCGTATCTTGATAAATTTCAAAGGACTGAAATCCTTTATGTGGAATTGAGAGAGAAATCAATCACAAGATGACACAGAAATTCACAAATGTTTGGAAATTAAGTAGTCTGATTCTAAATAACTTATGAGTCAAAGAAGAAATCACAATAAAAATTAGAAAATAATTTGAACAAAGGATAATGAAAACATGACATCGAACTTTTTGGCTGCATCTGAAGCCCTGCTTGAGGAAACAGGATAGCTTCAAATGTACATGTGAGGGAAGAAGAGTGGCTGGAAGTCAGTGTGTTAAGTATCCATTTCACAAAGTTGGGAAAAGAACTGAAAATAAAACTCAAGGAAAATAAAAGGAGGTAATAAGAGCACAAAAATGAAACAGAAAACAAATCCACAGTGGACAAAATGAACCAAACCACAGTCAATTATTTGAAATGGTTACTATTTTTAGTACCATTTTTTTAAATAAAA